TTGTGGTTCATTGCATGTGATAGCAATTTCTTTGCCTCTAAGAAACAAACTGGGAGCAAGGTGCTAAATATTCACAAACTGTTCCTGTCAAACAGGGGAGCAATAGGTTGTGATAACCATCTGCTTTTATCAGTTATTTTCAGATGCAGAATAAGGTATGAGGGTGACACAGCAGTAGCTAAGCTGTGTGCTAACATATGGGTTGTGTGAATTTATCACCTATAGGGAGTGGGCTGAGGGAGTAGCTATTACTCCTGGATGGGTCAGTCTGAAGAACATTTGATTGTAAAGCTATGAAGGTGCAGAAACAATCCTGGCTGCAGAGAACCTGCAGGCTCTGGGACGGAGCAGCCTCTGTGGAGGTATAGGCTGGGCAGGGAGGGCTGGGCATCAGCTCTGCTGAAAGGACCAGGGGCTCATAGTGGATACTGGTGTAAACTCAGGAAACTGCTTCTGCTATATCTCTCCTATAATTCTGCCTCAGTTTCCCTTAATAGCCTCTAAAGAACTGTGTGAAAAAAAAAATTCAAAGGTATCTTAACTAGTGTTACCCACAGAGGTGTCTGTAGCCTTGATGACCTACAGGCTGCAGTATTTGGGCTATACTGGCAGCAGCTTGTCAGTATTTTTAATGTTGATATCCAGTCGTCTGTTTGCTGCCTCCTGCTGGGAAGGAGATTTGAAAGCACCCTGATAATCCCTAATTGCTTGAACGTTTTGCAAATGCAGTGTTTGAAAGTGTCTTCATCTCAGAGCCTTTGCCAAACCTCTTCCCTGACACAATGCTACAACAACAGCAACAAAATTATTTTGCACATTGTCTGTTGAGATGAAAAACAAGGGATGGGACCACCGTGCTATTTAAGATGATTTATTGCTTAAGTAAGCCAGATAAGATACCAGTCTCAAAGGTGTAAGATTTGGAGAGAAGCAACAAGTCAGCCATAGCTTAAGGTAGTCACAGGTTTCTTCTTACCACAACAATATGTATCATTTTAGTCCAATAGACAGTCAACACAAAACTTGTTTCTACTTAACCTATCACCTTTGCCTAATTTTGCTGCACTGTGTACTGATAGGTCAAGTACCCACACACACCTCTAAGATTATGACTTCTAGATCCTTAGCCTACCCTTTAAGTCATATTCTTATAGCTTAAACTTCTCACTATTTTACCTAATACAATTTCTTACTTACTCAAGGCATATTCTTACAGACAATTATAGGAACATAAGTTTATAATTTTTCTATTTAATGTCTGTGTACTTTCATCATTACATTAACCCAAGCTCTTTCCAAGGCTGCAAATTGAACCCTTCAGCATCTGTGGAATTTTCCAATTTTCCATTTTTCCATTTCCCACAATTGTCCCCTGGAGCACAGAAGTACTCCTTTGTCATGATTGTTTCCCTAGCTTGCTTTCTCTGTATTGTCTCTTGTCTTGAAGATAGTGTAACCAGTTTTAAGGCTGGGGATTCCTTTTGTACTGTTTATTGGTTGTTTTTCTTTGTTTCATACAGGATGTAGCATAGATAAGTCATAGTTTTTTAAGAAATAGCTGGGATTTCCTTTATAGCAGTAACCAGCTCACACATAGCACACAGTGATGGATCATGTTCATGTCCATCCATCTTCTTTTGTGTAGTATTGCACTTGTCTGTGTGATGCTTTCCCATCTCAATGCATGTCAGGGTTTTCCCATAACACTTCCATCCCTTTCCCACCCATACACCTTCATGCAAGACATTGTCTTGCACCCAGTTAAAAACTCAGTGAGCTCTCTATCCCCCTTGCTCCATCCCAGATCATGCCTCTTTTCTTGCCCATGTCAAGGACCATCTGTGGTATCCTTTTGTCTGATCCTTTACTGTCCTCTTTCTATTTTTGCTGCTCTTTGTTGGGTTGGAGAGGAAGGTTAATAACGAAGGGTGCCTGGGGTGGGTCTGAACTGCTAGATAACAGCAGGCACAGGGAATCATTGGTGCACTTCAGCATAATGCCTTTGATTGTTTCTTTGCATTTTCAGATGTGTTTGCTGGGCTAAGCAGCTGTTAGGGGCTCTGTACAGCCTCCAGTCTCCGTTTCAGGTTTCTGCCTTTCACACAATTCGGTAAGACTCTCACCTGGATGACAGAAGTTCTCTCCAGAAATTATTGCACTGCTGACAGGCAGATGGCTTCTGGGATTTCACTGCTCAGCTGCATGAAGCTGACAGCTCAGACATGTAGCTACAGCTGTCAGAGCTCAGATGTTTATGAAAACAGAAAATTGCTGAGTCCAGATTTGAACCAGCTTTTTTTCAGGTTTAATTCTAAAAGTGACTTATAACCTTTAACTCACCAAGCCATTTATGATGCTAGCCACAGTATTTTTAGTATCATTTGTAAGAAATGCTTTCCATGTGTAAGAACAGGCACACAGCACCAGACCATCCAGTTTAGGGACAGTGACCAACAGCAGGTGCCTGAGGAAGTGCATAAGAACAAGACAAACATGAAGCAATAATTACTCAAAATGCTCTATCAGCTTCCAACAATCTGTCTTGAGGCTTTGCAGAATCAGAACTGTCCTCTTCTTGCTCTAGCGTCTTTTCCATGCTTTAGTTCTTTCTGCTTTTAGCCCCACTTCATTTCACTTTTAAAAAGAAAAAGAAGGGAAACAATACAGACTGTTTAAATAGATATTCCAGAGGATGCATATTCATAATCTGGGGACCTGGCAAGCTGCAGAATCCTTAGTGCTGACACAAAAGGTGAATGGGTCATGCAAGAATGAATTCTCCTGTCAGGGGAAAAATGTTCCAGTTAAATCATGATACTGTTTCTTATATTATAGCCCACAAGACCTTAGTTTAGACTGTTAGACTTAGTGAGATATCGTAAAGAGAAAGAGGATTTTCTTTGTGATTATAAGGCACTTTGATTTAATACACAAATTAGGAGACTTAGCATTCCCTTAGCCTTAGATGTGTGGTGAATGTATTGGTTGGAACAGCCAAGTGACAAGCTAACCACCTAACCATGTCCTGGGTTGCAGCAACTGGAATAAGGAACATCATGTGTTAGAGGAGAACATGGAACATATATTGGTCCTGCAATTCAATTTACATTTCAGGTTTCCAAATGAAAGGTGAAGTTAATGGATTAAATAAAGAACTCTAATGGCATTGTGTAGTACATCATGGAGTTTGACACTTCTGGAAAGCCTGTAATTGTGTAGTTCTCTTGCTCTGCATGAATTCAAGGCTGTGAAATTCAAGCTGTGTAGCTAACTTAGTGAGATGGGAGACTTGTGTGGATCACAGCATGAAGCCGGTTGCTGTTCCTACTGTGCAAGCAAAATATACAAGCTATGTATATAAAGCTATATGTAGGTTTACAAGCTATAGTTTAGTTTTTTAGTTTGTTGTTTTGGTTGTTTATTTTTTCAGAATCAGTTTTCTTATCAGGTTGTATAAAGATGATGTAACAATGAAATTATTTGTATCAGTAAGTATTTGCACAGATGTTGTACTAACATTTATGGACCAACACATAGTAAGTACTTCATTCCTACATTCCTAGTGTCTGGTTACAGCTCAGATTTTGGCACTTAATTACAGCTTTGAATCTCCCATGCACATCCCAGCTGTCTCTTTAGGGTATTAACAGTAGTGGTGTGACTCTAAAGAAATCAAGAGTTACTCAAGAAGCTGCAAGAATAAAAGAATAGAAATATTGAGATAACAGTTCAGGAAATGTATAGATAGTGGGTTCAGTTTAATTTGCAGTCATAACAGTAAATTTGTCCTGGTTCCAAACAATTATGTCACTGCACTAAACTGACATGTGATTGCGTGTGTTGACACAGTATATTCAGATGCTGCACATGACAGCCTGAAGGAGATATTTTCTCCTGCTCTTCTGCTCAGCAGTGTTGCTTATAGAGCAATGTCCCATTGGATTTAAAAGAAAATACCAAACTGTGCATTGGTTTTGAGAATTGGTCTACAGCAAGTCTGGCAATCATGCTCTCTTGTGGCATTGCTACGCTTGATGGTTCAGAAGCACATATGGTATTGCATTTTACTAGATTCCACTAGTTTTTGGAAGGAACCAACCAGCTGGTTCCCTGTAAATAAGAGTCCTTGGCATTTTTTTCTGGGAACAACAGCTTAATTGTCTCAAACTGCTGGAATGCAGAGAAACAAAATAAGTCAGAGAAGCTCTAACTTACTTGGAAACTACCAGTGTTTGTTTCCTGACTCTCAAACTCATCCTTCTCTGTGTCCAGCCCTGTAATTCATACCTGGTGCTACTCCAGTGTTCACCCAGAGCATACGCCTTTTCTGAGGTAAGGAGTGGATAGCAGGTTCTTTCTTCCCTCTATTTCACTGTTCACTGGGACACATCATGGTGTGGAGGAAACATCTTGCTTTGTCATCTTGTAGCAGTATATTTGGTGTATTTGTGTTTGATCATACAGTGGCTTTTGTACAAAGACACATCATAGCAATTCTACAGCAATAAAAGATGTTCTGTGTAAAATTGTCAGAGTAAGGAACTGGATAATATGTCTGTAAAACACCTCCTAGATTAAATCCAGGGAGATTTAGTCCTTTTTATCCTTTTGCAAACTTTGTTTAAGGGACAGGTGCAGACTGTTTTGCTTGTGTCTACTCCTCAAGTTCCCACCTGCCAGAGAATCTTCAAAACCCGTCATCATCTCAATAAGAAATTTATGTTATGATTGCAGAAGAGATTTTCTGGGCATATATATATATATATATATATAGCTCATGAAACCAAGATAGGAACAGTTTTACGTTTGTGTACGGTGGTGAGCAGAAGGAGGCTGCAGTTTTGCCCAGTTTTGTCACTTGAATGTGTCAAGTAAGAATCCTAGAAATTGGTATCAGGACTATCAAAACATTTCTATTTTAGGAAGGCATCACCATGCAGACCGTATTCCATTACATACTACTCAGAGACTCATGATTTTCTTTCTTTTCCTTGTTCTAGAAACAGCACGTGTAATTCTTCAACCTTTGATGAATCTGAAGACTGGCAAGTTGCTCAAGATGCTGAGATATGCTTGCTGAAGTCAGGAGAAATTATGTAAGCAGAACAATTTCATTGCTATAGGTAAAAGCATAAAGGCTGAGCTCAGATACCAGTTATCAGGCTCCTGGAAGAGCTGCTCACTTGTGTCCCACAGTAGAATTTGGTCTGAGGAGGATGAGAGGCTGTAACTCAACCATGCAGAGAAGCAGCAATGAGCCAAGTCCTCTCTCTTCAGTCTTAGAAAACTTCAGTGAAACTGGGGAAGAAGAAGAAGAAAATATGTAGGTCCACATCACATTTCCTATTTTTATTGCAGGACTTACTATCAACACAAAGGGGGTTTAGAGAGAAGGCTGTGCAGTCTCTGCAGGAAACTGCAAGGGCAAGTCAGGGAATGCAGCTCTAGTTGGACCTTTGCCAAAGGGAGGGGAATTTATGGCTTTTTGGAGTATGTATCTGTTATTTATTGGTGGCTTCCCAGAATCTGTTTTGCCTTGTAGATACATGCTACAGCATAAAATGTTTGTCTAAGCCTCAGCTCAAGCTCTGTGTGTACTGTATGTGCACAATTCTCTGCATGTGTCCCGCTCTGAAATTCCTAGTTACATGTAGTAGTGATACAGCATGTCACTTTCACAGCCAAGAAGGGAATCCAATGTGTGGAAATGCACGTGACTTAGAGAAATTCACCTTTGCTCATTGTCCCCTTAAACCTAGCTTTGAAATTTTGCCTTAGTTATGGGAAAGGTTTTAAACTTTTGACTGCAAGGAGATTAATCAGTCCATGTTTCAACCTTGTTGCTGCTGTTCAGAGATCCAGGTAAATGAAGCAGTAACTAGAATCATAGCTGCGCTGTAAGGCAAAACTTAGAATAATATTTAGTTTATTAAAATCAAAGGTCACCTGAGACATGACAGGATTGCGGCTTACTCTGTTCTCATTGATTTGCAAACAGTTTATTTGGCCTGAAGAGTGACAGATGAGATTAGTTTCAGTTGGGGTAATGTAGGTGAGATCCCACGGATCTTAGAAATAGGAAACTTCAGGTTTCCCCTGAAGAAAGTAACCAGTGTTCTCCTGCTTCAGGGCCTCGCATTTCACAGTCTTAAATAGATACCAGAATGAAGTCAGCTCATCTAATGTTGTAGGACTGCATCATCTAGATGCTAAGAACTTCATTTTTAACAGGCAGCATTTTGATACAGTTTTTTTGCAGCTTGGTTGGGTTAAATAGACCCAGATGTAGCGTTAAGTGCTTCAGAACAGAGCTGCTGCTCACTTTCCATCCACCTGTGCCCTCTGTACTCCTGATCCTCCTGTTTCCTATGCAAATTTTTATATTCACCTAGGAAGGTGAATAAGCAAGGTAACTTTCTTTTTGTTTAAAAAAAACAGTAGAGGGCAGCACTCCTTTTTTATTTGTCGTAAGTCTAAAACCTTTATTCCAGCACTGGTTTTCTTTAGATGAGATGAAATGAAATAAATAAGTGAACAAAATCCACTTATGCCAGAGCAGTGAAGGTGCTTAATATCAGATAGCTTTTTCATAGTTTTTACCTTCACCTGAGGCTGAATTTTCATGCATCTTGTGGACCTGCCCCAAATATGCTGTGGAGTCTACCTGAAATAGATGGAAAATAAAAATCAATGATTAGTGGTTTTTTCTGAGTAAGTGGATTGGATCTCTTCAAGTAATCATATATTACTCCCTCACAGGATGAAATTACCTCTTACAGTAGAAGAGATCATGAATTTTGGAGAAAGCAACAGAGAACTGTTCATCAAATCCAGCACCTACAGTATCATTCCCATCACTGTTACAGAGATGGGACTAACAATTAGCTGGATCTTCTCATCAGACCCCAAAAGCATATCCTTCAGCGTTGTCTACCAAGAGTCCGAAGACACACCACTGGATCAGTGCAAAGTAAGGCCTTTGTCTCCTTACTTCCTTAGAGGTTGTGTTGCTCTACACTCATCCAGCCTACAGCAATTGACAAGTATTGCTAGGTCTTCACCAGAATGCCAGTTGCTACTGCGTTAAGGATTTGTTTCTCCAGTTAAGCTGCAGTTCTGCTAAAGGCAAAGCTACATCTTTAATGTTGCCTGCGAAAGTTGAGTTGAAAAGTGCTGTAGCTTCCATTGGTTGCATCTGAATTTCACCCAGAATTATTAAGCAAAATTAAATGTCCAAATCTGCAAAATTCTTTTTTTTTTTCTCAATTTCACTTAGTTTGTAAAAATCTTTACGGCTGTTTTTGCCAGGCTCTTGAGCAGAAGCCACAGGGAAACATAAATTTCTTGGTTTACCTACATTTCTTAAAACAAAGCATATACTTAAGTGTCTTGATGGTGTACAAAATCTCTTTGCCAGTGTCCAAGGTACCTAGTTTTATATGTGCTGTCCATATTTCATGAGGATTACAGATTAAGTGAATATATTTTACTCAACTAATTGCAGTTTTGCTGAAGGAAAGACAGCTGTTGGTTTAATCCACCATGGTAGGGTGAACTCTGCGGCTGTGATTTACTGGAGGAATAAGACATTTATATAGCTTGTGCTAATTCACTGCATGGTTCTTAACTCCATGTAAAATATCTCTTTATCTTAATCTGAAAACTGAATGAAGTTTGAATGCTGCTTTTGTCTTGATATATTTATTTGGTAAAGCTTTGTTTTATAGAGTCATCCTTGATCTATGTCAGCTGCTCTTCTGACAGGTGTGCTAGGGTTTTATAACAAGACACACACTTTTGCTGTAAGCTCAGATAAACAATTAAGATTTGCTGAAAAAGCTTATTTTATAACACAAAGAGTATAAAAAAACATATTAAAATATATATTTAGCTAAATCCTGCTCTTGGATATATGGATTTAAGGTACCACTTGCTAAAGTTACTAAAGTTTCTTAGATTAACGCTTAAAGGTTCAGGATATGTTTCTATCTATAAAGCAGAGATGAATAGCTACAGGTTAGTGCTGTAAAGATATAATCAAAGGAAAACAGGTGTCTCACTGTGAGATTTTAGTTTGGGTAAGTTTTTAATGCTAATCAGTTAGAGTAATCAATTTTGCAGGCATAGATGCTCTTTGGGAGTTTCAAAGTGGCTGAAGTCAAGGTTTTCTGAAAGAAAATGCCAATTTACAGGGCAAATAGCAAACTTCATTTTGATTTGTATTGAATTCCAGGTTCTTATCCCTATGACTCGCTGCAACTCTCATAAGGAAACTATCAGAGGACAGGTGAAAGTCAGAAATGCTGGAATCTACACCCTGATATTTGACAACACGTTCTCTAGGTAGGTCCTAGCTAGGTATAAAAGGTAACATAAGCTTGGTGTTACAGATTGTGGAACTGATCAGATGTACCATTGTTCTGCCATTCAGAAATATAAGAAATTCTTCCTCACTTGCCAAGAGGTGTTCAAGACTGAGTTTTGGTTCTTGTTCTTGTTTGGTTTTTTTTTTTCTACACCCACAGCAGAATTCCACTCTTCTTTCTGAACCTCTAGGAGGGTTAACAGAATTAAGCAAGTAATTTGTGACTCATTCTAAGACAATTTACTCAGGATTGTCATCTTTTAAAGAACAGACCTGATGGCACAGGTGCAGGCCTACTTCTTTTTGACAGCAGTGAATTTTTTGCCCAAGTGTAAACTGAAAGACTGAGTACATTTTTAAGGCTTCCTTTCTTCTTGGCTTCAGCTAACATGATCTTTTTGTTCTCTTTTTTTCCTTGACAGGTTTATCTCAAAAAGAGTGTTTTATCACTTGGCTGTTGAGCGACCTGTTATCTATGATGGAAGTGATTTCCCATAGCCTTTACTATACTGTGTATTTTTAAATTTTTAAGATATGCTATTATTTATGTACATGTGTAAGCATTCTGATTGCCACTGTGTTTGAAGACTTTGAAACTATGCAATAGTTCTAATGCACTTAAGAGCAGATGTGTACACTAAAAATGGAAGCCTTTTTGGGAACACTAATGGTTCTGTACTGTGTACAGATTGCTGAAAAGCCATGTTGTTTGGTTTAACAGGTCAACAATAATAATTTTTTTTCAGTGGGGAGAAAAATAAGTCTGGGGGTATCTAAATGTAAACTGAAATTCTCTGCTGAAAATTGAGCTATTTTTCTTCCAAAAATATTCTTCAAAAGGAAATTTAAAGAAAAATGCCTATTTTTGACCTCTTCACTGAGGTATAAACATAACCAGCTCTGTTCTGCTGTACTGCTCTTACAGTCAGAGCAGCAATTACGCAATACTTCAGTCTTCATAGGCAAATGTTGTAATCCATCTGGCATATTTTTATCTTTTCCAAGTATTATAAGCAGCATACCATAGGAGTTTTATACATTTTGGGCTAAGATTTGGTAAGTCTTAACTGGCTGTTTCCAATGCTTTGGCACAGAATACCAGTTAGAAAATAATAAACACAAAGCAGCAACTCTTTTCACTTTGGCTCACTGTACTCTGAATGTTGGCCCATGGAACCCAGTTCCTGTGGTGAGCACCAGTGGCAGAATGCAGAACATCCCCTGTGGAATAAAGTACTGCTCACTGGGTGATATTGAGAAGAGGAACATTCCTTTTTCCTGCCTTAGCACCTTAGTCATCAGCATTCACAGGAAAGCACAGTTTCTGAGGAGATCAGCAGCGTGTCTCTCTCTAGACCATGTGGAAGGCGGCAGTAATGTTTGAACAGTCTCAAAACATCCATCCAAAATGGAATACATATCAAGCCTGGTGAGCTCTCCACCCTGTGGTGTTTGTGTATTCTGTCCCTTTCCTAAGCTTTGCAGTTGCCTGATCCAACTGCTAACTTTCCATCTCAGATTTGGGGGCTGTTTACACTGCCTTTTAAGGGAAGACTGGGTTCTCACTCATAGAAAATTTCTATGCAAACCATCTACTTTCTGGATAGAATTTCAGCTTTTTATCAAAATACCTGAAAGTGGATTTTTCTATATAAAAAAACCCTGTCTTCCAGTAGAATGGCAAAATATTTGGCAGGAGAAAGAAGAAAAGTTCTTTCTCCCAACCAGCTCTCCTCATAATTTATGTGTGTCTGATTTTTCATGTTACTGTTCTCCCAAGGAAACCTCAGACCTGGAGGGTTTTAGTGCAGCAGTTGGTAGAAGACCAGCACAACCTGTGAGGAACCCTGTAGAGACTTTGTGGCTGCTATAGCTGGCATACAGGGGTCATGGTGGGAGACAGAAAATAAAGCATGAGAGGAAAGAAGAAAAAAGGGCAAGCATAAACTGAAGCAAATGGTTTGGGGAGATGAAAGGGGCAAAGTTGTAAATGTAAAAGCAAGGAGAGGGAATTGGAGGAATGAGCTCAGCTAGGGAAGGTGGTCAGGAGAGGCCAAGCTGGTGTTTTTTATGTTTTGCTGGTCCAATCCAATACCTGTAAGGGATCTCCCACTCCAAAAGACTGGTTGTTTAAAAGGTGGAGATCACAAACTAAGTGTTGGACATTTACATAGGAGCAGCTGAGGCAGAGCGAATTTTTTGGTCATAGAAAAGAAAATAATTGCAGTTAAAGGTTGCTCATAATTTTTTCCAGTTGTTGTGTAATACAGTAATCTTCAAAATATTGTGAAAGAATGACTACTTTTCATGGAGCACCTAGGATTTAGGTCTCTGGCTCATCGATAGCTTTCCCTTGCCATCAGCTGCCTTTTTCCCCATGGTGGTGGTGTGCTCCCAACCCTCTGCCAGGCAGAGTGGTCAGTGGAAGGTGCAAACTCCTGAAGGCTGCACTGTGGTTAAGCCCTGACCTGGTTGTGTGCATGAAAATGAGATGGATGAGAGACTGACGTGAGCAATAAATGGCCTCAATTGGTTCATGAATTACAGCATATTTCAGTCTTGAAGCTATGTTTTATATTTAATTGGGCAAGGAGAGATTATTTATTGCTTAAGAATGGAGTACTATGTACCATATACTATGCAATTTCACTGAGCTATTACTGAAGTCTGCTGCAGTATTCTTTTAAGCTTTTAGGTGTGGTTTTTAAAAACATTTTGCTGTTGTTTACTTAGAATACTAATTTTACTGGGATTATACTTCTTAAAATGCCAAATGTAAGGTAAAGGGACACTGTCAAGTATCTTCAGCAAAATATGACATCTCTGTTAAAAAGTATTTGAAGTCTCTCTACTAAAAATAATTTGACAGCCTTGCCTCTTGATTTCCTCTACACATCTTCTTTAATTTCTTTTTTAAAAGTTCTTTAAAAACTTTTAAAAGTTCTTTAAAATTTTTATCCTGTGGCAAATATATTTAAGCCCCTATTCATGTAGCTCTTAAAATTATTGTCTCCATGTAGTAAGCCAGATGTTTCCCTGGAGGTCTCTCATGTAGACAGTCCTGAGACTGCTGAAGCCTATGTTTGGGAGAAGAAGAGTAAATCCACTGGATTCTCATTTAGCATTTGAGTCTTTATGGTCCCTTTTCTTCAGGTTTTCCTGTCCTTTGAGAGTAATTTTACGGCTTTTTTTTTTTTCCCTCTCTTTGAAGGACGACTAAGAGTGAGAGTCAGAACCTGTAGTTTAAAGATGAAAAGAAAATGTTTGATTCTGACCAAAGACAGTACTTAAGGAGGAAAAGTTTCAAATTATGAAATATCAGGCTGGTAAGGTGCCAATGGACAGGAATACAGCTGTTCAAAGAAGCTTCCCAGGAGCAGTAATCCCATCATAACAGCTGGAAGAGGCTGTGCAGAGACAGCAAAGAACCTGACATTAGTAGAGACCTTTTGTTTAAATGTCCCAGAGAGTTCATTACTGGAATCATGGAAACCCAATAAAGAACTTTGCACAAGGGCAGGCAAGAGATTATTTCATTCAAGCACCTCATTCTTCCATTCATAAAATGCTTGTTCATGTGAGTTATTCCAGCAATACTGAAAAATCCATTTATTTATAGGTGCTCAGGTGGTTTGTTGAAGTGGGCTTTTTATTATCTGTAACAATGCAATAAAGAGAAAAATATTTTAAATTGATCATGAAATTAATTGAAGGAGATGTCACATTCATAGGACAAAGATTATACATTGTGATCAGCATAAACAATGAGATGTTTTTCTGGGTGCTGGAAAGGGAAAGGAGATATGGAGGGTAAGATTTTTTGTTATGAAGAGGTTTATGCAAAGGAGAGAATGTAGTTTCTTCAAGAAAATGACAGTGTTCCTTTACTCAACATTACTCAATGTTTCTTTATGAAAAATTAAAGAGGTATTGCACAAGAGTCTACCATGTTACAAAATAGCAAAGCTACAAAAACCTGTCTTCTTTCCTAAAACTGAAATTGCACTATAGTTTTAATTATGCTCAATCACTGAGGTTGTAACTTGTTCAGAAGCATCTTTTGGTCTTAACTGCCAAAGAATTGCAAGCCCTATTCACATCAAACTTCCTGCTCCAGATATGGGAAAAATCATGTATACCCGTGTGTCTGTACAGTTACAGAAATGTAAACGGTTGCATTGGAATGTTTTTCTTGATGCTTTTTTTTTTCCTTTTTTAACCTCAGGAATTTAAGAATAAAATTCTTTATCATTGTGAATATTTGTCCCTTTTTTGCCTTGTAGAGATAGCTTTGTGTGGAAGATAAATTGGATGATTGTATAATTTACTTGGGGTTTTTATTAAATTTATATTGTGCCATCCCCTCATTTCAAAGCTACAATTACCAATAGAAGTTTAAGAGCATCTCCAGAAGCATCTGGAGTCCTGCCTCCACATTCAGAAGCTTCCCTGTAAGAGAGGCTCCAGCAAAGCCTAATCTGGAGTGTGAGGGACCTGCATAGAGTGAATTTTACATATAGCCAGTACCTGTGTAAGTGATCATACCATGCTGTACCTCAACTCTGCAGGGAAGTGCTGCAGCCATTGAAAGTCTTTGCGTCCATCTCCAGTAACACATTTTTATCCATACTGGGTAATACCCTCTTCCTTGGTGCTAGGGGAAGGGTTCTCCCAACCCTACTCCTGCCTTATATTTCTCAGTCTGTGCCCCAAGAACAGGCCTTGGCACACATGGGATATCATTTTTCTGTGGGGACCATGTGAAGTTGTCGCAAGGTCGTGGTATCCTCTGCATTAGTCCTTGTAGTGTCACAGAAGTGCTTTGAAGTCCAAATATAGTAAAAATTCCTGTAGTTTCACACTCTTCCATCACTTCCCTGCTCTTTGGAATGTTGGGGTGCGACATTGTTGGCTGGGTTCTTTTTCCCCAGGACTGAGATTAACGAGAGAGAGATGTTTTCTCCTGTTCAGGCTCAGTTGTTTATTCTTTCCTTATCTATATTACATATATACAGAGTACAAGGAGCTACATACACTAAGATAGAAAAGTGCAAAACAGAGAACAAAAACTCTTTCCAAGGTCTTTTATTGTGTGTATTTGTCCAATAATCAAATGCCGAGTAAGTTATTTTTCTTAGTGACCCAATGACCCGACACCTGTGTACTGCACTGCGGATTTCTTTATATAATCACTCATTATTACCCAAAAACCCTTAGAAGAAGAAGGAGAAAGGGACAATGCCCTAAATCATCCACGTTGTCTCTTATTTTCTAATATAGCTTAAACCCTAAACTAACTTTTTCACCCAGTGACTTAAGGAAACTCTCTCTAACTTACACACATTCCCAGTTGCTCTACTTAACTTTAAAAGCTGTCTCCACGGTGTTATGCCAAACTCAGTGTTCTCTTGGGTGTGAGAGCCAGGTACCACAGATAAAGGCCTATCTTTTGTGCTTCTGACCCCAACACTGGAAGAGGTGCTTCTGTACAGACGTCTCTCTTTCAGGCAGAGCAGGCAGCAGGTAGGCAGGTTTGCCTGCAGAGAGTGAAAGTTTCTCATGGGCTCTCCCAGCTTCCTGCCCTTGTGTCACAGGCAGGCTGGTGTCTCACTGCATGACTGCCTGCACCACAACTCAGCACTTGAGGCAGGGATGAGTCCAGCTGCTCTTCAAAGAAGAGCAACAGCATAGGAGACTGCAGCCCAAAACTGGGATCATCTAGGAAAAAATGGTCTCAAAGAGAAGGGAGGAGACCCAAGCTATAGAAGATCTCAGGCCTCTCCCAGGACTTCCAACAACTGCTTGATGCCTATCCTGCTAGAGCTGTGTGTAAAGCATGAGTCCCCTGGGACTGCTCATAGGGCAGGGGAGGCAATACCCTTTGCCTGTGAGGAAACCTCCCATCAACTTCCCATGGAAGAGAGCATCAGGTGAAGGCTAGGGACACCCTAGCCAGGTACAAGAGGGATTGTAGTAGGATAAATCCAAGTAAAATATCAGGGCAGAGGGACAGAGGAGCCCAAGAAGAGTTTGACCACAAGGAGCTGTGCTGCTGGCAGACAGAGGCCCCCAGCAGATGCAAGAGGGAGTAATGGCAGAAAACACCTCCATGACTGAATCCCTGCTGTGTGATGACCAACAAAAAGGGTTGGGGATGAGGCTGCAGCCAGACGGGTGCAGGGAGGCAGCTTCCTCCTGAGTTTGTGTGGTGAGAGCAGCTTTGGGAGCCACCAGCAGCTACTGGACTGCAGGCAGCCATGGTGGAACAGAACCCAAGAGGGAAAACTGCCCCCAGGGAGTTTTTCCTGGCAAAGTGATGGGAGCAGCCTGACTCAGAGGAGGATGTGCATGACCCAGGAACAACCCCATCCCAAACTGCCACAAGTTCATTGCCATTTCACCAGCCTCAGCAGCTTCACCTGCTGATCAAGCATGAATATTTCTCGCTGCGTTTTAGAGACTAAAGAAGCTTTAGTTTCTGTGAGATGCCCGCGAAGTTCAAGTTCCTGGGGCTGGTGAGATGTAGTGCAGGGAAGAGGAGCTTGCAGCTAAGGCTTGCACACTTGTTTGCATAACTCAAGGGCTCTTTGGGGGCCAGGAGAACCCTCTGTGTAAGAGCACCATCACCCCCAGCCTCAGGAAGAGGTAGTGGGGCTGAGCTGCTGTGGGGAAGCATCTGCCCCCAATGTGCTCCCTCCTCCTCTGCCCTGCCTCCCCAGACTGCACCCCAGCCCTTGCCTCAGCAGCCTAAACCTGCCCCAGTGCCTGGGGTTCTCAGCTGCAGCTTCCACATCACAAGGGTTAGATATTTGAAATAAACTCTCTTAGCAAAGTTTTCCTTTGGCCTCTTTTTAGAGGGGTAAATGCTGTGATTGCAAAGAGATTACATGTATGGATCTGAATGGGAAAGGATGTATGGGCAAGAAACAACCAGTTCATCCCCTTGGTGTATGTGGCAGTACCTTTATTTAATTTTGGCTTCTGTTTGCTGAGCACAAATCACAAAAACCTCCCACACTCTTCTTACACATACAGTAAAAAATATGTACATCTTTGACCATTTTTCTTCCTAAGTTAAAAAAAAAAAATCCTAATAAATGTATATGAAACTTGAACCCCATCTGCGCAGGTGTACCCTATTAGCTAGAAAAGCAGCATCAAACTTTGCAGAGAGTTCATTTACCAACATTCTTTAATGATAAATGCACAGTGAAAAAACCCCTTTTTTCCCTGGAAGAGCCAAGTGCCATAAAGCAAACCAGGTTAAATGAGATTATTTTAATCAAAGGCTTCTGAGCACTACATCTTGCAATTGAAGAGTGGGAGGTGCAGGCTGTGGTCAGGCAAGACAGGGGAGGCCATGTGCCTGTGAGAGAATGAGCAAGGGGGAACAGATAAATGATGCCCCATGGGCTCAGGTTTTGGGGAACATTACAGCACACCACTTCTGGGAATGGCAGTCTCCACAACCTGATGTCTCACTACAAATTTCTTTAGGTTTGAAATTAATTAATTAATTAAGTAACAAAAATCATTCCCTGTCTTGGGGAATTGTCCCTGTCCCTTGTCCCTGGCCCTAGGTTGAATATATTTTCCAAAGATATTGGTGCATAACTGGCGGTCAGTTGAACCATGGGTTTGGTTTTTGTGTTCTGGTTTATGGCAGCTTTTCACCATACAGCAAATATTCCTGGGACAGAAAATTCAATGCCTCTGAAGCCCTTAATTTTTTATTGTGAGGGGTGATTTGTCTCCAGTATCAAAACAGGACCCATCATACCTGACATCACAAAGCTAAAATACAGGAGAAAGACAGATTACATTCTGCAATGCCCACTTTATGTACACGAACAAGTGGTTTTCCTTTTCTTTTTCTTTTCCTATGTAGCCAGAGTTGCATTTGCCCAGGCACAGAGAGTAGCATTTGTTCACTGCAACAAACCAGTGTCAGTGCTAAAGGCCTGACACTTTACACAGGACAGGATCTGGTGTAGGAATCTGGCAGAGCTCCTGAGTCAGGCCACCTTCTTAGGGAAACCTGGTATGACAGCAAATGAAGGCTGAAGCACCTCCTGCTGCTTCCTATGGACAGAATGCTTCATCTGCCTCTGTTGCTGCCATAGCTGGGTTTATCACCCATTGCAAGATTTGTTATTTCAGGTTGTGGTCTGAGCTGCAGATGAGCCAGCTGTCACAAAGGTTAGTTTTTGACATCTATCAGTTCTGTTTATAGCAAGTATGGTTCCATTTTGTTCCCAACTGCCAAATGTTTCCTGTTCTCTCAGCCAGCAACCCTCAGTTGGGTCCCGCACGTCAAGGACAGGCCCCCAACCCTTTCTGCCTCTCTGGGTTAATCTTTGGGGTATACAGGTGGTTTCCAAAGAGCTTGGTGCTTGTCTGGAAAGGAGAAGGTGAGGACTAACTTACAGGATGACTTTGGAGGGAGGAGACATAACAGAGGAGGTCCAGTGAGTGTTGAGGATCAGGGAGTTCCTGACCCGCCGCCTCCCCAGCATGGCAAAGGACCAGTTTGAGCTGTGCTCCTGGCTGTCACAGGCAGAGGAGTGCTCCTGGCCCCCGCTCCAGCAGCATCCACAGCTTTGCATCATCCTGCCCAGCGCCATCCTGAACCGCTCGCCAGCAAAGACATAGAGGAAGGGGTTGAGGCAGCTGTGGAGGAAGGCGATGATCTGGGTGACCTGCAGTCCAATGTCCAGCTGGTTGGCAGCCTGACAACTGTGCACCACCCCAGTGTAAGTGTTGATGGCTTTGACCAGCAAAAAAATATTGTATGGGAACTGAGAGAGAAGGAAAGCAGTAATGATCAAGGTGATAATCTTCAGTGACTTCTGCTTTTGGAATCTTTTGGCTTGTAGGAGGGTTTTGATGATAAGGGCGTAACAAATCACCATGACAAAGAGAGGGAGGAAGAATCCTATGATGACTTTCAAGGCCAGGACTGTAACTCTGAAGATCACACCAACATTTGGTGGGTACATAATTTTGCAAACTGTTACATCACCCACCTGTGTGCTCTGGCTGTAAATGATTTCTGGGATGCACAGGCTCACAGATGTCAGCCAGACAGCCAGGCACATGAGCCTGCTGCGCAGGAGCCACCTTTGCTTACAAGTTTTAGCTTTCATCGCTTGGACTATAGTGATGTACCTGTCAAAGCTGATGCAGGTTAGTAGCAAGCTGCAGCCATAGAAGTTGATCTTATACATGCTGTTGACAACTTTGCACATGAAGTCCTTA